CTGTGTAAAGCTACGAGGTTTCTTTCTACCATAATGCATTCAATAATGACCTGATAAAGAGTCTTAAGGAATATTTGTAGGACATACATTCTTCTGTTCAGCTACCAAACTCTTCATACTCAGAATCATCCTAGCAGGCAAAATGATTGCACTCATTGGCAACAATTAATATTTACTAAACCCAATAAATAATTTTTTATGAGAAGCCTAAGCAGCAAATCTTTTCCCTATCAAAGTAGACAAAAACAAATAAACCTCTGTCTGCTTTGCCAATACAATTTGCCACAATTTACTGAACTGCAAATATAAGAAGACCAGTCCAAAAAAATAAATATTCTATAACTTTTGAAACAAACTATTTTTAGAGTGAGCTAAGCATTGAATTCCCAGCACTTGACTGCATGTACTATAACTCATATATCATGTATTTCTACCAAAATGTGGTGGACTTGCACACCATCTTGTAACAAAGAAGAAAGACCCTGCTCCAAAAAAATAAAAAAAAAAAAAAAAAAATTTTGGTAATGTGCACCTCCAGAAAGGATGGAAGTGGGTAGCTTTCATAAAAAACTGCACTGTCCTGACCACAAGGGGCTACTGAGGACTTGAACTTGTGCCAGGTTGAATGGAGATGGGCTATAAAAGGTCATGTACACACTAAATTTTAATGACTTAGTACCAAAAAAATGTAAAATAGCTCACTAATATTTATTTAAATCACAGTGAAATTATAATATTTTGGATACATTAAGTTAAAGAAAATATTAAAATTAATTTTACCTGTTTCCGTATATTTTTGTAACATTTCTATTAGACATGTTACAAAATTACCTGTGCTCAAAATTACATATGTGGCTCACGTTTTTCTGTTGGATAGCTTTAGTCTGGAGCCCCATTTACCCCATTATGCTTGTGGCTCAATCTAGAATAATCTAGTAATCCTCATTTAGAAATCTATAGTCATATTAGAGTTTTGGTGACAACATCAGTGTCTGTCATCACTAAAACTCACAGTTCTAAACCCTTTCCACGTATTACCTCGTTTAGTTCTCAAACTGACACTCACAAAGTGCCCCCCTCCCACCCCCATGACAGAAGAGCCATGTTCTTAGTATCACTGTTGTTGTTTAAATTCTGACTGGAAAGAAACTTTAGGTTAAACTCCATTTATCTGTTATCATTCATAAAGGTGAAATTGTACCTGTAATTTTATCTCAAAATTAATAAATAATATGAATAAAACTCGAGGAAGTAACTGTTGTCTGTGCTTTTTCCATTTGTATTTTTTCATGCTATTTTCTTTAGCCAAAATATTATTTTTCTTGCTTTTTCGATCAAGCTAACTCTGCCTAGTTTTAAGGACACCTGAAGAACAGGTAGCATTCTTAGCTCTTTAATATTAGTTTCCCTCTTCTGTGAGGTTACAGCATCCAGGGAAATTGCTATTGCAACATGTAATGAAATATAATGGAACATCAAATTTAATCTCTCTTAATAAATTATGCATTTCTTGATGAAAAACAGCTTCAGGAAGTAATATAAACTACTTGAAAGAATAAGCTCTTTTTGAAGCTGTTACAGCAAAATGAACATTAACTTTCTGACTGCAGATGATTGTGGCTGCTCATGATAAGGGCCCTCTGAGAGCACTAGGCTATGGCTTGGGCACCTCCCCTTGTCAACTCATGTTGCTGTGCCACTATGGACCAGCTCATGCAGCTACTCTGATCCCATGTAAAACGATGGGATCACATTTGTAGCCACAAGTTTCTGTGACTTGTCACATTTAAACAACATCACATTTGTAGCCACAAGTTTCTGTGACTACTACTAGACTGGGCTACAATTGCCAATTGTTCTTGAAAATAATTAGATTTTATTTTTCAAAATTCTACAATTCACACTTTATTTGTTCTAATAGTCTAAGGGCTTCGGTACCTCAACATTTGCTTTAACTTCCTTCTAGAAAAACATAGAAAGCCTAAAAATTACAGAAGTTAGGCCTTTCCTAAAGTTAGTATGTGTCCAATACATTTAGGTTTCATGAGTCAAAATGATTTACCTCTTTTTTTTTTTTTTTTTTTTTTTTTTTGGCGGAGTCTGACTCTGTTGCCCAGGCTGGAGTGCAGTGGTGTGATCTCACTCACTGCAACCTCTGCCTCCAGGGCCCAAGCAATTCTCCTGCCTTAGCCTCTCAAGTAAAGTAGCTGGGATTACAGGCGCCCGCCCGCATACCTGTGTAATTTTTGTATTTTTAATAGAGATGGGGTTTCAGCATGTTGGCCAGACTGGTCTTGAACTCCTGACCTCAAGTGATCCATCCACCTCGGCCTCCCAAAGTGTTGGATTATAAGCGTAAGCCACCGTGCCCAGCCGATTTACCTTTTAAAAATGTTTTTCATTTCCATTTCTTTCTTTCCTTCCTTCCTTTCTTTTTCTTTCTTTCTTTCTTCCCCCCCTCCTTCTCTTTCCTTCTTTCTTTCTGTCATCTTCCTTTCTCCTCTCTATCTTCATTTTTATTTCCCTCCCTTCCTCCCTCTCTCCCTGCCTCTCTTTCTACCTTTCTCTCTCTCTTTCTCTTTTTCTTTTCTTTCTTTCTCTCTCTCTTGATTTTGGAAAAGATTTCAGTTCACACTTTATTTGAATATTTTAAGAAGTATCTACAGGAGCGTTCCTCTCCCCACAGCTGTTCTTCATCATAACAACAATGACAACCATTTGTTGAACACTTACTACATGCCAAATTCTGCACTAGGTATTTAGCCTGCATTATCTCTTTTTAATCCTCACGATAATCTTCATCTGTCACAGTTGCAGTGTAAAAAATAAAAACAAATACATTAAATAAATAAATAAATCTTCACAATAATCTGAGCTGAGTATTGTTAATGCCATTTTGCAGATCAGGAAACTGAGCCTCTAAGAAGGTAATTACTTTGTGCAAGTTTCCACAGTAAGTTGTGGCACTATAAATGAAACCCAGATCTTCTACAGTCCACATTCTTAAGCACTATCTCTTGTGCTATACTGTACAAAAAATACCTACAACTTGGTAAGAAACCAAAGGACATGAACATGTACATTCATCTTAGTAAATGTTAATATTCAAGTTATCATGAAACCATTTCTCCCATTGATCTTAATGAATGCAGTAGTTTACATTAATCAGCTATTAATTTATAAAAAGTTTGTGTTAGGCACAGCAAATGAAATTAAAAAATAGATCATCATAGAGAAAAAACTGTTCTAAGAATGTAGAGGTTATAGAATCATACTTTATCTCTAATTATCAATAGGGTATTATTTAATAATACTTTAAGATCTTTTCTTTTAAATGTACTGCATTCACCCAAATATACGGCAACATCTGTAAAGAACTGCAATCCATCAACACTAAATGTTGGTGAGAGGTAGAGAAAGGGAGTAGATTGGACTTAACTGAGAACGGAGTTCAGCTGCCAGAAGACACACTCATCCTGGAACTTGGAGATGGGGAGAAAGGAATGGGAGAAGGGAGCCAGGGAAGGCCACCATGGACACTGACAGCTGCAGTTGGATATTCTGCTTAATTGACCTACAAAAAAGTGTACTGCTCTTTACGAAACTATGCATTCCTGCCATATTAACTCACTCATCTGAGTTTTTGATCTATAAAATGAGGATAAATGATTCCCATATTCTCCACAGGGCTATGAAAAATAAAATATATAATAAAGTGCCTGGAGCTCTTTGAAGGCGAAATTACTTAAATCAGAGGTATTTATCATTTTACTAACACTTTCTTGAGTATTATATTTCTGAGCATAAACTACTGATACTCTGCCATATCTGATAACAGAGATAGCTATGTTTACCCACTTGAAGAAAATCAAGGAAAAGACAAAAGACTGAGGAAATAGATATGGAGCAATAGATTATTTACATTATAAAGGTATTCTTAATTTTACTGAGCAATTTATGGAAAAAAAATCCATTAAACAGAGTCACCTTTATACACTTGATGTGTGGGAGCATTCAAGACCATAACTAGTGTGTGTTGTGCCCAAATCCGTCATAGGAGTCCCAGCACGAGACGCATAGAAGTTGTAGAGGTTCAAGATTCAATGTGTGTAGGTTTCTTGACTTTTGAGGAGCAGAATGCACTACCACATACATTTTGGGTGTGGGTTCAGGTGTTCTGAGATGGTCAGAAGGAGTGTTAAATCCATGCATTTCAAACGTGGATATTTCTGGGAAGTTTTTTTCTACTACCAATCATAAAATAGCAACACAGAAAATGACTACAAGTGCTCTGAACAGTCATCTTCCATTAGAATTAGACTGGCACAAAGAGCTGCCAGTCAGTTTCACAGCATCCCTAATTATCACACTCCCTCTGAAGCTGAGGTGCACATGTTTAGTGCAGTTACTTTGGTAGAACAAAATACGATGTTCTGAAGCAGGTAGAGAAATGCCAGAAGCTGTCAATGGCTGAGAAAATGCTGATGACTCATTCCCTCTGCAGGATGAGTTTGAAAAGGATGGCTAGTGCTATCGGTAAACATTTTATAGTTGCGTTTTTTGAGAATGATGGTATGTTAATGGATCTTCTTTGATGTTACTAGATTAGCCTGAATATAAATTTTCTTCCTGAATATCTGTATCCTCCCCACGAGGGATGGGGTTTGGGAAACAGTGAAGTGCACAAAAATTATGATGGAGGAACTTGCTTTCCAACTGCCTTAAAGACCGGATTGGCCGGGCATGGTGGCTCACACCTGTAATCCCAGCACTTCGGGAGGCCAAGGCGGGCGGATCACCTGAGGTCAGTAGTTCGAGACCAGCCTGGCCAACATGGTGAAACCCCATCTCTACTAAAAATAAAAAACAAAATTAGCCAGGTGTGGTGGTGCATGCCTGTAATCTCAGCTACTCGGGAGGCTGAGGCAGGAGAATTGCTTGAACCCAGGAGGCGGAGGTTGCAGTGAGCCAAGATCACGCCATTGCACTCCAGTCTGGGCAACAGAGCGAGACTTCGTCTCAAAAAAAAAGGATGGAATTTGGGCTGGCAGGAATGTAGTCTGAGCACAAGTAAATGCCCAAAAAAGGTACTCTATAAACCACTGAAGAATGAATGAGTGAATACACAAATAGTGTGAGAACATGAAGTAGGAGACAGTGTTTTACTTAGAATAAAAAGAGCTGAATTTAAACTATTTTGCCACCTACTAGCTCCATGAATTGAGGTCATTTAACTTCTCTCTGCCTCAGCCACTTCATCTGTAACATGAGGATGATAACCTATCTATTCTTATCTACTTTAAATATATTTAAATATATTTTAAATATATATTTTTTATTTAAATTCTCAAAACTTGAATGGCTCAGTTTTCAAGAACCCTCTGAACAAGACCAGGGAACATCCATATTGCAGTCTGACATGTGGGAAACAACTGCACTCCAGGGCCTTGCCACTCAAACTGTGGTCCCTGGGTCCTCAGCCCAGGCAGAGCCTGGGAGCTGGTTAGAAATGCAGATTCTCAGACCCAGCCCAGACCTGCTAAATCAGCATCTGTATTTTAACAAGATCTCGGTGCTTTGTATGCTTATTAGAATTTTCAGAGCTTTGCTCTGGAGCAAGCAACAGCTCACACACGGGTAGGAAACACCGCAAGTGAATTGTATCTTAATCAAATCAACAAATATATATCAATCCCTTATTAGCAACAGGCATTAGTTTAGGTGCTGGGCCACAGGACTGCATTAATCAGATAAGCCTCAGCATACACAATTGGTCAGGGCTGATATAGACAATGAACACACAGGCAAGTGGAAAATTTGGGAAAGGGTAAGTGCAAATGAATCAGCGTGACAGGGAAAGGGGTCATGATACTTTAGTGAGGGTGCACCTCCACCAAGAGGAGTCTAGCCATGTGACGCATCTGTAGTGGGACCAGCTATTCCTCCTCATTTTTTCACCTGGAGCAAGAATTCAATGCTCTCTTTCTACTATTGATCCACAGTTACCTCCTCAGGTCCTCCATTTTCAACACTACAATTTATCATTCAACTGCAAAGATGTACTCTATCTAAAGTTTAAGCTACACAAAGGATTATTGAGATTCAGTTTGAATCATTGTTTTACTTTGGTTCAAATTAAAGATTAATTTCAAAATAACGTACAAGTTAGATTTTACAGTAATATATTCAGGTCAGGTCAGTAGCCTGAACTATGATTTTAATCAAATACCAAAGAATAACCAAATGACTTCTTGTGAGAATATTTCTTCTAACATTGTTCCTTTTTGCTCATTAACTCCTTTATTTATTCTTCATTTGTGGAATATGTACTGGACATTTATTTTTGGTCTGCCTCTGAGCAAGGCATGAGAAAAAAAAAAAAAAAACTAAGCAAAAAGCAAATATGCCACCTCTCCCAGTGAGTAGGTCTTTCCAAAGCTAAGCTCCCTGTCTGTGTTCTTGTTCTCATTCCCTCTGACCCCCTTGGAGGCATCGCTCCCCCGTTTATCATTCCCCCATTTATCTTATTTCTTATCACCAAATTTCAGAGCTAGGGCTCAGGGGAATGGACTGCTGCACATTTTCCATTAGATCACGTTGGTCAGTAACTGGTAATATGTTTGCCTCCTACTCAGCCCTCACAGGTCAACAACACCTGTGTCCCCTTATGTGTGAAGCCCATCCTAGCTTCCCTTCCTTTCCTCTAAACCAAGAATGCAAGGTCAGGCACTTCAGTCTTTCTCTTGGCCACACACTGAGCTCCTTTAATCAAATCCCAGCTCTGGATGACTCCAACAATATTTGTCTTCCAAGTCAGCTACAGAGCAGCTGAGAAACACAGATCACACTACCCAAGAATACAGAGGTCTCTGTAAACTCATTATTACCACTCCTACCAATACTTAGTACAGCATTCCCCATTCGATGTTTCCCCAAAGGCAATCTCAAGCCCACACATGTCTGTATCATCTTACCTAAAAAAACCTTCTGTACCCTAGCCTAATCTCATTCTTAAGACTTGCCCTGCTTCACTGGGAAAACAGAACCCATGGGAACATCCCAGCCTTGGGGCACCACATGTACAGGTGCCTGGTTACTGTGAAGAGAGCTTCTTGCTCTTAGAAAAGCAGCAACTTCCTCCACTCAGGCTTGGGGTCCTAACTCATCTCACCTGCTTGGTGTTACCGATGGTTCCCTCTCCTACATTCGCATTCTCCCCTTTTACTGAATCTTTGCTATTGGCATTGAAATATCCTAGGGTTCCCATTTTCAAAAAGAGAGGAAGATGATGAAGAGGTAGACAAAGTCAAAAAAATAAAAGAAAATAGAAAAATAGAACAAAACCAACATAAAAGCCCTCTGGATCCTCACATACCTCTCCAGATACAAATACCTCCCATAGCTTCACAGCCAAACTTCATAAAATAAGTGCTTATAGTCTCTCTCCCTCTGTTCACCTCCTTCCTACTTCTGAGCCTGCTGCATCTTCAAGATCATCCATGTGACTCCACCACAGCTCTTGTGAAGGCTTCCTATGACTTTCAAGTCATTATGTTCAATGGATACCTTTAAATCTTCACCTTACTTGGCTTCTCAGAAGCAGTAAATGGAGTTGACTACTCCATCCTTCCTGAAATCCTCACTCTATTCCTTTGGTTTCTGCAACACCACATCTTGTTTACCTCCTACCATTCTCTGTATTTTTTGTCTTGTGCTGTATGACATTCAAATGCTGAACTTCCTCTCAGCTCAAACCTAGGAACTCATTCTTCTTTTCTTTCTGCAAGCCCTCCCTGAGAGTTCTCCTCCATGCCTGTGGCTTGCATCCGCTTCTTTATGCCTTTGAGTTCCTGATTTGTATGTCCATTCCAGAATTTCTGAGCTTCACAACCAGGTATCCAACAGCGGACATGACCACTGTAACCAGGTACCACACAAGCTCTCTCACTAATCATGTTCAACACTGAATTCACAGTCATCTCCCCAGTCAGCACCTCTTCCAGAGTTCCTTATCTTGGGAAATGGAACTGCTTTCCATCCAGCAGCATTGCATCTTTTATGCACGTAAAAGACCTCTGGGCATTCCTGAAGCTTCTTATTTTCATCCCGAAATCCACTTGATCATCAGTGGATTCACTAAATATTTTTGAGTCCATCTTCTTCTCTGTACCTCCATGCTCAACACCCCAATTCAGGCTACAGTGATTTCCTGCAGTAGCCTCATATATTCTTCTACTATTCTTTCCACTTGCCATTTGTTCTCCTCACAACAGAGTGAAATTTTAATAAACTTATCTATTCATTTGCACTTATCTGCAAAAACCTTTCTGAAACTTTCCATTGCTGTAGGACAAAGTCCCATATTCATATCTGCCCCATGCAGCTCTGCATGGTGGGCCCTGGTACACCACCCTGGTCATTTTCCCCCTTGCTTTCTGCCCTCCAAAGTTTCTGGTCTTTATTATTATTATTATTAATTAATTAATTTTTGACCTCTGAACTTTTTTATTGGCCTCCTGCTCCCCAAATGGTCCCCTGCTTCTGCTAGCTTAATGTCTCAGAACTTTGGTGTCGCTGGGCTCAGACGCCACTTTGCCATCCATTATCCGGCAGGTGATGGTCTCTTGGATGGTTTGCATGGAGTTGCTGCTGTCCAGGCATCACCAAGATTGAAGTACTCGCCATCTTCCAGCAGGCGGCGGTAGGTGGCGATCTCAGCCTCCAGCTCAACCTTGATGATCAGCAGGGCCTCATACACCTGGGCCTGGCGCTGTCCCTCTGCCCTGGTCTGTGCTAGCTCTGACTCCAGGTGCAGCAGGATCCCATTGAGCTGCTCTATCTGCAGGGTGTAGCTGGCCTCCACCTCCCTCGGGCTGTTCTCCAAGCTGGTCCTCCTATTTCTCATGGAGTCCAGGTCGATCTACAAGGACTGGACTGTAGGTCTCAGCTCTTGGAGTGTCATCTCAGCAGCTCAACCTCGGTGGACTGTGTGGTGACCACTGTGGTGCTCTCCTCAGTCTGCTGAGACCAGTACCTGCCCAGCTCCTCTCGGTTCTTCCAAGGAAGATTGTCATCTGCCATGATCTTGGCAAGGTCCTGAGGTTTGAGGGCAACTACCTCCACAGTCAACCCAGAGCTGGCAATCTGGGCTTGTAGGCCTTTTACTTCCTCTTCATGGTTCTTCCTCATGAGAGCAGCTCCTCCTTGAGAGCCTCAACATCCATCTCCAGCTGCAGCCAAGTGACATTGGTGTCATCAATGACTCTGCGGAGCCCATGGATGTCACTCTCCACAGACTGGCATGTGGCCAGCTCTGTCTCACACTTGACTCTAGTCATCAGCAGCAAGACGGGCATTGTCAGTCGCAGAACGATGCAGGCATTGTCCACGGTATTTGCGAAGATCTGAGCCCTCAGGTCCTCGATGGTCTTGAAATGACGGCTCCAGTCTCTGACCTGGGGTCCCTTCTTCTCCAGGTGCTCCTAGATTTTTCTCTCCAGCTTCCAGTTCTCAGTCCCCAGCCTCCTCACTCTGTCCAGATGGGAGGCTAGGTAGTTGTTCAGGCTTTGCATGGTCTCCTTCTCATTCTGGATGCCTCCCATTCCTGCCAGACCCCCGGCCATCCCTAGACCCCATGCCACCCTGGAGTCTGGTGGAGCAGTATGTGGAGATGGAGGAACCAGAGCCCCTGGCGCCTGCATAGACACTGACCACACTGCTAACTGGCCGGGCGCCATTAGCTGGGCACCTGGACGGAGACCAGGGACCAGTAGTTGGTGGAGAAGGTGGAGCGAGTGGTGAAGCTCATGCTGCCCAGGGAGGAGAGCGAGAAGACAGGACTGAGGTTTTGTCGACCTTTTTCTTTTTTTACTTCCATGAATTTCAGATGTCATCAATTGTAGGACATGTCCTGATTTCAGGGACTTTTAATGTGACAGAAAATGCATATTATAATTAATTGGTAAAGCACAGCAGTTCCTGACACTGGCCCTTCCAAATGTAGGGTGTTTGCTCCCAATCCCATTCCTGCACCAACCCCTTTTGCCTGGAAAACTTTTCTCATATTCCAGCTTTCATCTTATGTCTGGCTTCCTCAGGAAAGTGCTTCCAGTATCCAACCCAAGACTAGGTTAGGATCCTCCTTACACACCTGTACCCTCATGGTACAATCTAATTTTTCAAAGCACCATGGTGACCACAAAATAGCTGTTCATATGAGTAATGTGTTTAGAGTCTGCCCCTCTTCCTAGACCACAGACTCAGAGACACTACAGGGGCAGCATGTGCTGGGCTAACCACTCTATCTTCAGCAGATAACACCTGATAACACAGCAAAATAATAAGGTAGATCTATTATTATCTCCTTTATAGAGAAGAAAAGTAGGTCACAGAGAGGTAGCTACTCAGGTCACACAGCTATTAATTTGAACACATAGAATCTGATCACAGATTCTGTTCTCTTAACTGCCTCTATCCTACTTGTGTATAATGGATACCCAATGATTATTGAATGAATGAATGAATAAAATTTTCAAAAAGTATTTTAAATGTTAATTGTTAATGGAAATCCAAAACCTGGGAGAAATAATGAGACTAAGGAGTTGGTTATTGATAACTTTAAAGACAATTTCAAATTCTAATCAAATATTGATTACAAAGACTGTGCTACTGTCTTATTCCTTTATGGATGATTGATGATATCTCACTTGTCACTCTACAAAACAGTGTTCCTCACAGCATTTACTGTTACACTATTTTTCCTGTCTTTCTTCTCTCCTTCCTTTGTTGTTTCCTTTTTCTATTTCCCTGCTTCTCCTCCCCCCACATCTTTTTTACCCTCTCTCTTTCCCTCCCCTCTTCAGAAACTATGTCATGAGTACCTATAATATACTAGAGAATAATTGAGGCACAGTGGTAAATAAAACAGCACTATCCCACCCGTGGAAAACATATGATCAACAGAAAGGAGATTTAATATGTAAGCAAACCAATAAATACATAATTATAGAATTGTGGGCCCTGTTAGGACAGAAACAGAGTTTCAGGATAGAGACCAGCAGATGGGAAGAGGGAGGCCTGGGGAGCGGGAAGAGCGCCCTTGAGAAGAGTGGGGGTATAAACTTCGCCCGATGAGTGAGGAGCTGGCATGAGCGAGGGGAAGAGCATCCTGGAGCAGGGCTGTCCCGGAGCAAGTACGAGCCCTGGGATGCAGAAGGGGTGGACGGAAGCCAGTATGACACGGGCTGTGTGTGCCCTAGAGGGGCCTGTGGGAGGCCAGGGGAAAACTTTGGAGGAAGTTAGGTGGAGGAGAAGCATCATTAGAACTTTAAAGATTATACCCAAGACCACAGGGATAACAGTTTAGATTTGAGAGATGGAATAAAAGGAGCCACACTGCTAAAGACCAACAAAAATGTAATTGTCCTCCAGGCCAGGGGGCAGGCTCCGACTGGGAGGGAACTGGCAAGTGGGAAATGAGGGCTCCTGTGAAGGCAAAGCCCTCTTGGCCGAGACCAGGAGGAAGGGAGGCGGGGTGCTATGCTGCTAACTCCTCCCTCTCCTTGGCTTTGCTTTCTGTGGGCTGCTCCCATGGTGCCTGGCCACGCTCTGGGTGCAAGGCTCCAAGGGTACAAAAGCCTTATATTGACTCTATGCAAAAATTAAGGCAAAGAAGAGGGAAAGAGCCAGTGTAAGTCTGACTTCTGACCAGGAACTCAAGGTCCCTCCTTTCAAGCCACCATGCATAATCGTTGTCTGCT